TACGTGGTAAGTGGATCGATCAATCAAGCATATATGTCTGCATGAGGGAATACGGTGCGCAGTATAGTGATTTGTTCGAAATTCTAGCCCGGCCCCATCCCATGCATGTTGTCCAAATTATTGTTATTATCACTTAACAATGCTTAGCTAGTAGTAGCTCCGTATGCAAATATATCTCTGGTCGACCTTGAAACAGCGAGATGTATCATGTATGCACAAAGAACAAAGATACGCGGCGAATTTTTTAGTTTGTTCGGAAGGATAATGTGGAGAGAATTGGTGCATGTCGTGCACAAATAAGTTGGAATGGAGAGTGACTGGGATATATACCTTGCATTAATGCCTTGCGTATCGATTTTGATTTTGGTTTTGAAGGGGTAATCCTCGTAGACATTGATTTGTTGTCGGCAAATGCATGCGACAAAAGAAAACTAAAGTCCGGTCTCGTCCCTTGAAGAAGCGAGGTACGCAGTTTGTAGAGCCTCTTTGATTCAAACGATTTTATGTGAATTTTGAGGTATTGGAATTCTTAGGATTTTTTTGAAGTTATGCCTCGGCGCTTGAAGCCGTATGCAATGTTCATGATCTTCATCATTATCTACTGGACTCTTTATTCAAAGGATTTTTATAGCAATTTTGGAGGATTGAAATCATTAGGATTTTTTCTTACGATGGTCGTCTGATTCATAGGATCAAATCCTACGGAGAAAAAACAAATTTAAGGATCCTTTTCTTAAAAATAAAAAATTTATGATGTAATCAAACAAGCCAAAGTCCTCTAGGATTTAAATGGACATGACATTGCAATCTTATGTTTTTGGAATCCTACAAATCAAAGAGGCCCTTAACACATTGTGGGGCTTCTCACCAATTTGGGTTTTTACCGTTGTTCTGTCTCCCTCCCAAAAAATTGGAGCCGTCCATTTCTTTACTCCACAGGATAAAAACCGAGTGGGGCAGCAGTAGAAACCCTAGTTAAAGTAACTATGTAGGTAATTTGGTTGGCTGTCTTGGACATGGGGCGACGAACCGCAGTTACAGAGTGTCACGGCAGCAATTTTAGGTGTGAGGTGTGTTTGTCAACGTGCGGAAGCCAAAGTGGTGGCTCTGTGTCATTTTAGTTTTGGTGGCGTGCTATATTGGTTGGGTGGGTGGCGGTGAACCGTGCATGGCCTAGGGTGCTCCTAATACGTGGTTGTCGGCTCTTTGGTGACGTTATTTGCGTGCCACGGGAGAATGTCCTTGTAGCATGTCATTGAGGGCGCGGTTGTGCTGCTTTAGGTGAAAGTGTTGCCTGGCTTATGTTGGTGACAACGATCCCGGCACTCCTATGCACCGCTTCCCAGTGGCGGAGCCAGGAAAACTGAATGGGCGGGGCCAAGAGCTGCTAAGCTAGCTTGTGGAGGGCCAGACCAAAGAAATACAAAGCTAATACACTGTTGTAGCAGAAATACTCAATGTTCTATTGAAAATATTTGCATGTTGACCCGGCCCGGGCCCTGGCTGGCACCCCTGTCTCCGCCACTGCCGCTTCCTT